AGTTCAGTTGCGATATAATCAAACTATCAACAAGGTTGTAGCAGTAGATGCTTAAACCCATGTTGACAAACATTGATAGTGTTTTTACATGACTGTAATGCACTGTAGATTATCTAAACACTATTGACTAAAGGTAAGTATTTTGGGTGATAGTTTGTCAAAGAGCTTGGTTTCTCTGATGCATAATAATTAGTTCCACAAGGACAAAGCGATTGATGTCTGTCGTCCGTCCGTCCGTCCGTCCGTCCGTTCGGACCTATATCTTAGACATGCCTGGACCAATTACATACAAATTTCTCACATGTATCATGCATAATATTATTATACATGTGCACTTCAAATTTGTTTCACTTTGTGATTCAAAATGGCCGAATGGCGTCCATATTTGTTCTAAAAAAAATCATCAAATATCAAGCAGTTCTGGCATTTATTGATGGATTTTGTTCATACTTGGTGCATACTTTAAACATTAAGGGTTCCTGATCATTCTATTTTTAGTCCCCGTTCGGACGCAGTCCTAAAACGTGTGTGTGCGCGTGCGTGCGTATCTGGACCTGTTTCTTAGAAATGCCTGGACGAATCGTAATCAAACTTCACACGTACATCATACATGATATTATACATATGCACATCAATTTGTTTCATGATCTGATTCAAGATGGACGAATGGCGGCCATTTTTGCTAAAAATTATCGAGCATTTCCCAGCTGTTTACAGAAGGATTTTGTTCAAACTTGGTATATACATTAGACATTATAGGACCTTGATGGACATCATTTTGTTTTTCAGATAAGATTTAAAATGGCCGACTGGCGACCATTTTGTTTTAATGAATGCGGTTCTCGTGCCATATCTCTGACTTGCTGTGACTGATTATGTTCAAATTTTAAATATTCATTACATATCATGACATCTTCCGCCTGCACAGTGTTGTTCCGCTTGGACATTCCTCCCTCTACAACATCGTGTGGTAACTTTTTCTATAATGCTCAATGTTGACAATACTATTGCCACGCTCAAATTTCTCAAGGCCGGTAAAGCATAACCAGGATTTACCAGTGTGACTAAAAACAAACACATCAGACTCGGCATTAACTATAGCTTTGGTCTGAATATCTGAGTTGCATGATGTATGGATATCGTCGCTGTATTGCCTTGACATCCAAGCCAACACTGTGCGCAGCAACATTTATTCTCTGGTTGGCATTTTCACCGCCTGGCAACCATCGTGGTGAAAACAAAGGCCAAACACTCTCAGAAAACGGTACTTTGGGATGC